CAGTTGGTAAATTCTTTTACACTGTAAAAATAATCAGAATGAGATAAGTGATTACATAAAGGGATATTCTTATTAAATAAAAAATGCAAGGAAATTAGGTTTGCTGAAAAGAAAGAAATATTAACCGTAATTGAATATATGATGTACAATGAAAGTGAGGTACCTAGTTATATCAGACAGAAATTTTGTGATTGTATACGTAATTGAAAATATGGAGGCACAAAGGCTTGCAACCAAACGACATGCTGTATGTAATGGATGGGATTTTTTTTATGTTAAAAATAAAACAATTAAAAAAAAGAAAATTAAGCAGAAAGAAGACACAGAATATTGTCAAACATGGGATCTATTTTATCAGTGATTGGAAAAAAAGGGGTGGAAATTAAGAATGTAATCTATATTGATAAGCAAACTAAATACCCAGACAACACAATGTTTATTAAGCACTAACAAATGTCATTAATAGAAAATCAATTTTTTTAAAAAAAATCAAGAGAGAAAGAAAAGAAAAGAAAACTGCAGTCTTGCAGTTGCTTTGTGAGGAGCAGCTGTTTGGAGTGCATGTGGGCAATCTCCTGTCCTCTCCTTAAGTGGAGAGGTTCTGTGGAAACAGTGTACTCACCAGTTCCTTGCTCTTCACCACAGTCATTGGCTTTGCTTTCACCAAGTTTTCTTCAGCTCACCATATTTCTCCTGAAAGTTTGGGATTTGCAATCTGGAGGGCGCCTTGAGAAAATTTGCCTGAAAATGCAGGAAGAAAAAAATTATATAAGCATGGTTCATTATTATTTATATTATTCTTACAGGTTTATATTAACCTGTCAATGTCTGCAGAAGCTTTTGTGAGGGTGATTTCCCTTTCCCTATCCTGGTCAATAAGCTGCTCAGAAGAAAAGTGGTGTTTTTTAAATGATAATTTATGTCAGGCTGTTGTTTACAGCATTCCTTGTTTGTTTACAGCATTTCTGTTCTATGTTTTTGGCCAACTCTCGTAGAGCGAATGATTGCATTATTTTTTTGATTACATTATTTATCGATTGCATTATTTTTTTTTTTTAAAACATAACACAACCTTTCTCGTCGTGTCTTTCTCCCTCTCTTGTGACATGCACGTCATGTCATTGATTTAACAAGGATCCAGATGAAAATGCATCGCTGGAGGAGATAAAGATTGATTCTGGGATGTCAGCAACAGTTATGTTCATCTGAAATGCCTTTGTTTAACAAAAAGCATTTTGTAGCGAGGAAGCCGATAGGGTGAGAGGCCTGGAATCTCTTGCAGGAGCCCTCTCTGTATGCATCTTTTTATCCCACCTCTCTGCATTACGCTAATGGTCAAGGTTCTGGCTGGTTTTACTTCCTTCATCGGTTTTTCAAAAAGACCCTAATCTGGAATCTCCCTATAACACTGCTGTGCTTGAGAAAGTGGCCTCTCACCAGATGTGCTGTGTTATTGATAGTAAAAGAGTGAAGGTAAGAAAGAAAGAGAAAAAGAAAGAAAGAAAGAAAAAGAAAGAGAAGGAAGAAAGAAAGGAAAGAAAGAGAAAGAAGGAAAGAAANTTTTTGGAACCTCTTCTGTAGGTGTGGCCTGCTTTCCGGATCCACTGGTGGAACCTCTTCTAACCAGTTCGGTAGATTTGATGAACGGGTTCTACAGAATAGGGGCGAACTGGTAGGAACTCACCTCTGCTAAAGCGGGACTAGAATTCACCATCTTCTGGTGATTCACCCAAATCATGCCTAAGGCAGGACTAAAACTCATGGTCTCCTGAGTTCCAGCCTGGTTGTTTAATTGCTAGACCAAGCTGGCTCTCATACGATATAGCCTATATAATATATAGTAATGGACATGATGGCTCAATGGCTAAGATGCTGAGCTCGTTGAGCAGAAAGGTCGGCAGTTTGGTGGTTCGAATCCCTTCTGCCAACCTAGCACTTCGAAAGCATATAAAAATGCAAGTAGAAATATAGGAACCACATTTGGTGGGAAGGTAACAGCGTTCTGTACACCTTCAGTGTTTAGTCAAGCTGGCCACATGATCATGGAGACGTCTTCTGACAGTGCTGGCTCTTCAGCTTTGAAACAGAGATGAGCACCACCCCCTAGAGTCATGAATGATTGGCACATGTGTGCGAGGGGAACATTTACCTTTACCTATAGTGATTAAATCAGTGGCATTTGAAGAAACTAAAAATCAATCCTTAAAGTGTCAATATGGAACTAGCTATTGCTCCATCTTCTCAGCTTTAATACAATATGTTATTTAAACACCATGATTTTTAGATAATATACTTATGATTCTTCATATTTAGGTGCCTTAGAGTACTGAGTATAGGTAAGCAGGGGAAATGGATATTCCTTTTACAATTTTCGATATTAATATTACAAGCATTATGATTATTTGACTTTCTTCAAAGTTAAATGTAACTTTGGAAATGAAATGAAAAAAATGAAGGAAGAACATGCATGAAGGTATTTGTTTTGAAATAAAAATCTGGTCTTGAGCTAAATTGGGTGATATTAAAATCATATTATTACTTGGTATGTTTGGTGTATATACGTGGATGCATGTGGATTTATACACGTTAATAAAGGAAAAATCGGTGAATAAAACAGGCTTAACAAATATGGAATAAGTCCCCATCACCCTTATCATTTGCAACGCTATCGGGATTTGCAATCCTTTGTTTTAAATAGAATTTTTATTAAGGCTTTTAATTTTTATTAAGACTTTTAAAAACAAGCAGAGAAAAAAAGAGAATGAAAAAAGAAAAACAATTTAATAAAAAAAATGAAGAATATATCAAGAAGGGCTCCATTCATGTCCCTTGCAGGAGCTAGAGCAAAGGACAGGAGCTCAGTCCCACCCTACAGCAACACTCAGGTCTCAAACGCAGACTTGCTGATCTCTTGCCCAGTATCCTAAGCACGCAAGTCACAGTACTCCCGAGTTGAACATAAACAAACCCGATAAAGAATTTTCAACACTTCTCCTTCGGTAGGTCTCTAACAACTCAAGAAGAGCAACAAAGAGGATTAGGGGACTGGAGACTAAAACATATGANCTCCTTCTCCTCCTCCCACCACCATCAACTAATACAGGCAAAATCTTATATGCACTGAGCTCAGCTCTGGTGAGGTTTATACAGTGAACTCAAGTCCTAAACCCAGGTCAACAAAAATCAGTTGCTCTGCTCCTATTACATCATTTATGTGACATGAGGGCCCGATTCACACCACATGCTAACACAAGGGCTAGGATTGCCCCTCATGCTGAACTATAAACTAATCTCACATAAGACCAGCCTAGCATGCTGGGCACTTCTATCATTCCACACTCTTCAAGACCCTTCAAACTCAACCTGGAAGAAGCCATTTTGTTGATTCTCAGTTGCCACGGGGTATTGGGGGGGGGAGCAAGGGGGAGGCAGATGGAATGCACTGCCAGACACAACACCGATCTATCTCCAGTGGAACACAGTTGCCTGTTCTGAAGTTGCCTTCAGAAATTGTGGGAGCTTCATCGCTGGAGGCTTCCAAGAAGAGGTTGGACGGCCATTTGTCAGAAATGGTGCAAGGTCCCCTGCTTGGGTGTGGGGTTGGACTAGATGACCTACAAGGTCCCTTCCAACTCTGTTAATCTGTGAAATCTTGTGGGAAGCAAGGTCATCCCCACAGGTGTTGGATGAGGAGTGGAACTGCCTAAGGAGCCTACCAATATACCTAATTGGACAAGGTGACCTGTGACACCTGGGGAGGGAATCGTTTGCTATATTAACTATATAGAAACCATGGGAAATATCCAGAGTTGGTTTTACATGTAACTGTGCCGATATGATGTGTCCAATAAAGAAGTTCTTTGAGAGAGATCTGAGTCTCCGAGTTCTGGTTTGCTTGGGCTCAGAACCTTGATATCTTAATGGAAACAGGGTTTGTGGCAACTCTTACAGGAGTGTGATGGTCTTAATGGGCGATCCTTGGTTTTCCTACCCTTTTAAAAACCGATTGCCTTGCTTCGTCTCTTTTAGGTGTTCTGGTGCTCACGTTCATCATCAACAGGTTGCACATCAATGCAGTTACCCGCAAGGACCAGTTCATTATTGCCTATGGCGGCCTTAGAGGGGCCATCTGCTTCTCCTTGGTGGTTTTGCTCCCTGATTTCCAAAGGAAGAAGCTCTTCATTGCGGCAACCACAGTTGTCATCTTCTTTACTGTCTTTGTACAGGTATTCAAGCATATTTTGGGTCCGGTGGGAAGAATTCTTTTACCCATTGGCATTCACGCACACACAGAGAGAAAGAGAGAGACAGAAAACAGAGAGAGAGACAGACAGACAGAGAAAGAGAGAGACAGAGAAAGAGAGAGACAGAGANGGCCTGGCAGCTCTCCAAGCCAGATAAGGTCTGTGACCCTAAATCCTCCCTTGAAAGACTTTGCTGGATGTGAATGAGCAGAATTCACAGCAAATTAATAAAAGGGGTTTTTTGTCGGGACAAGGAGTTTGCTTCATGCTCTTGGGAAGCCTAATTCAGAACAAAGGTGCCCAGTTTCAGAAACCCTGCTTTACAGGAAGAGAAGTGGATATTTATTTAGGAGTGGATATTTATTTAGAAATGGATATTTATCTGACCTATTTCTTCTTCTCCTTCACATCTCTTTGGCTTCTCAGACTGGCATTAGATCCCAGGATTTCTTTCATGGGACTTTCTCTGATTGGAAGGCGTGGGCCTCCATAAAGATTTAGAAATATATAATAAATATATAATAAAAAGAATGGCAAGCATACTTCCACCACTTTGCAACAATAAATTATGCAAAAAAAAAACCCCAAAACCCTGGGCTAGAAAAAACTCAAAAGGTCTTTTCATATATCCTAAAAATAAGGTAGAAAACAAGAGCCCATTTCTCCAAGGAAGATAACTTTGGAGAAATCTGGAAGGGATATTCTGGCATTTTATTTTTCTTGGGAAAAACAGCATCATTTCCGTTTTCGTTTCAGGTGCTTTACAGGCTGTTCCGCTCCTTCTGTGAAATGCCAACCATCAGAACTGTAGACGTGTTTGTGGGCATTGGGAAGTTTTTTGTAGTTGGCATCGGTGGGCTTTTGGTAGGCCTTCTCTACGCTGTGACTGCAGCCTTCACCACTCGCTTTACCAAAAATATCTTGGTGATTGAACCTCTTTTCGTCTTCCTCTACAGCTACTTATCCTATCTCACTGCAGAAATGTTCCATCTCTCTGGCATTGTGGCGTAAGTAAAATGGAAGCTGAAAATGGCTTCCGAAATTCAGTATTGACCAGAATGAATCTTAGTTTGAAAGTTTCAGCACCATCCTGGTAGCCATTAAGGTCTGAGCCTCAACTCATTTTGGAAAAAAAATAGGGACAAAAACAAGTTTTAGGAAGTGATAATAAATAGATAGAATGCAGTTCTCATCAGTTTTTTTTTAAAAAACTAGAAACACAGAACTCAGAAGTGTGAGAACTTGCTTTCAGTTTCCAGTGATTCAGCTGTGTTTTGAACTCACCCACTGCCTTAAATTTTAGGGATAGTTTCATGAGTTGGTGTTCATTTCCTCCCAAATTTTCTTCCCCCTACAGAGAGAGTTGTTGATTTTTTTTAAAGAGTTCCTTTTCAAATGGCTTTAGACTTTCTACTGCATTCCTTTCACTGGTCTTCCTAACAGCCCCTGATGACCATACTTACTAAATGGCATCTGTGAAATATCCATCTGTCTGTCTGTCTGTCTGTCTGTCTGTCTTGCTGTGTGTGTGTTCCAGCATAACTATGGAACGCCTCAGACAATTTCAATTAAACTTGGTACAGAGATGACTTACTCTCTGGAATAAAATACCGTGGGGTGTGGGGGGTGTGGGGGTAAAATACCCCTAACACCCCTCAGGGTGTGTGTTCTGTTAAGATACAGCCTGTTGTGCCTTAAAATGGCTTCTACTGTACTGCTGTAAAATGGCTTCTACTGTACT